TATTGATCTGGACAAACATATTTCCCTACAAACAATCTAAAGCCCACTAGCAACTGTAGGTGTCCACACTCGGACATGTATTGATCTGGACAAACATATTTCCCTACAAACAATCTAAAGCCCACTAGCAACTGTAGGTGTCCACACTCGGACACGTATTGATCTGGACAAACATATTTCCCTACAAACAATCTAAAGCCCACTAGCAACTGTAGGTGTCCACACTAGGACACGTATTGATCTGGACAAACATATTTCCCTACAAACAATCTAAAGCCCACTAGCAACTGTAAGTGTCCACATTCGGACACGTATTGATCTGGACAAACATATTTCCCTACAAACAATCTAAAGCCCACTAGCAACTGTAAGTGTCCACATTCGGACACGTATTGATCTGGACAAACATATTTCCCTACAATCTAAAGCCCACTAGCAACTGAAGGTGTCCCCACTCGGACACGTATTGATCTAGACAAACATATTTCCCTACAAACAATCTAAAGCCCACTAGCAACTGTAAGTGTCCACATTCGGACACGTATTGATCTAGACCAGGGGTCTCCAAACTTTTCAGTCCGAGGGCCGCATTAACTATCAAATTTCAGTTCGGGGGCCAGTTTCTTGCAGGCATGTCTTTGATTTTTCTGGGCAAAGTTCTTGAGCCATCACCAACAAAGGTTTTTTCCGTGAACAAAAAGATCTCCGCGGGCCGGATGAGAGGACATCGCGGGCCGCATCCGGCCCGCGGGCCGTAGTTTGGAGACCCCTGATCTAGACAAACATATTTCCCTACAAACAATCTAAAGCCCACTAGCAACTGTAGGTGTCCACACTCGGACACGTATTGATCTGGACAAACATATTTCCCTACAAACAATCTAAAGCCCACTAGCAACTGTAGGTGTCCACACTCGGACATGTATTGATCTGGACAAACATATTTCCCTACAAACAATCTAAAGCCCACTAGCAACTGTAGGTGTCCACACTCGGACATGTATTGATCTGGACAAACATATTTCCCTACAAACAATCTAAAGCCCACTAGCAACTGTAGGTGTCCACACTCGGACATGTATTGATCTGGACAAACATATTTCCCTACAATCTAAAGCCCACTAGCAACTGTAGGTGTCCCCACTCGGACATGTATTGATCTGGACAAACATATTTCCCTACAAACAATCTAAAGCCCACTAGCAACTGTATGTTTCCACACTCGGACACGTATTGATCTGGACAAACATATTTCCCTACAAACAATCTAAAGCCCACTAGCAACTGTAGGTGTCCCCACTCGGACACGTATTGATCTGGACAAACATATTTCCCTACAAACAATCTAAAGCCCACTAGCAACTGTAGGTGTCCACACTCGGACACGTATTGATCTGGACAAACATATTTCCCTACAAACAATCTAAAGCCCACTAGCAACTGTAAGTGTCTACACTCGGCGGACATGTATTGATCTGGACAAACATATTTCCCTACAAACAATCTAAAGCCCACTAGCAACTGTAGGTGTCCCCAGTCGGACACGTATTGATCTAGACAAACATATTTTCCTACAAACAATCTAAAGCCCACTAGCAACTGTAGGTGTCCACACTCGGACATGTATTGATCTGGACAAACATATTTCCCTACAAACAATCCAAAGCCCACTAGCAACTGTAGGTGTCCACACTAGGACACGTATTGATCTGGACAAACATATTTCCCTACAAACTATCTAAAGCCCACTAGCAACTGTAGGTGTCCACATTCGGACACGTATTGATCTAGACAAACATATTTCCCTACAATCTAAAGCCCACTAGCAACTGTAGGTGTCCACACTCGGACACGTATTGATCTGGACAAACATATTTCCCTACAAACAATCTAAAGCCCACTAGCAACTGTAGGTGTCCCCACTCGGACATGTATTGATCTAGACAAACATATTTCCCTACAAACAATCTAAAGCCCACTAGCAACTGTAGGTGTCCACACTCGGACATGTATTGATCTGGACAAACATATTTCCCTACAAACAATCTAAAGCCCACTAGCAACTGTAGGTGTCCACACTCGGACATGTATTGATCTAGACAAACATATTTCCCTACAAACAATCTAAAGCCCACTAGCAACTGTATGTTTCCACACTCGGACACGTATTGATCTGGACAAACATATTTCCCTACAAACAATCTAAAGCCCACTAGCAACTGTATGTTTCCACACTCGGACACGTATTGATCTGGACAAACATATTTCCCTACAAACAATCTAAAGCCCACTAGCAACTGTAGGTGTCCACACTAGGACACGTATTGATCTGGACAAACATATTTCCCTACAAACAATCTAAAGCCCACTAGCAACTGTGTCTACACTCGGCGGACATGTATTGATCTGGACAAACATATTTCCCTACAAACAATCTAAAGCCCACTAGCAACTGTAGGTGTCCCCAGTCGGACACGTATTGATCTAGACAAACATATTTTCCTACAAACAATCTAAAGCCCACTAGCAACTGTAGGTGTCCACACTCGGACATGTATTGATCTGGACAAACATATTTCCCTACAAACAATCTAAAGCCCACTAGCAACTGTAGGTGTCCACACTAGGACACGTATTGATCTAGACAAACATATTTCCCAACAATCTAAAGCCCACTACAACTGTAGGTGTCCACACTCGGACACGTATTGATCTAGACAAACATATTTCCCTACAAACAATCTAAAGCCCACTAGCAACTGAAGGTGTCCACACTCGGACACGTATTGATCTAGACAAACATATTTCCCTACAAACAATCTAAAGCCCACTAGCAACTGTAGGTGTCCACACTAGGACACGTATTGATCTGGACAAACATATTTCCCTACAAACAATCTAAAGCCCACTAGCAACATCCCGGCGGAGCCTGGGCTCTATGTATGAGAAGATCGAGTTTACCTCAATCATTATGCTTGACGTGGCTCCTGGAGGAATTTTCATGCTTCAGCACACAAAATAACGATAAAAATATTTGCCTTACCGAACTTTCGATCGAAAATTTCCTAGATTTATCACAGGATGGACCACTTATATTCATCATTAGATCATGACAGAAATTAGACAGGTCTTTGATTTAAAGGCTCAAATTTTACGTTCAGAGAAAGAAACTTTTTTTCTTTTATATCGTTCGAGATAACAAGCATAGAGATGTTAGAAATTAGCTATAAATGTAGGGTGCGAGTTTTATTTGAAGTATAGATGAGTTAATGTATAGACCAGATTGTGAAGGACTAAACTTTACGAATGCGGTCAGCTGGGTAAATGCCAAGTGGGCATATCCATGACTACGATGTATTATTTCCATCATCATACAAAGTATAATAAATAATTTACTTTCTTTTCACAATATTTTTAAACATACAAATATACAATATCAATAATAAAATGGAGTTATCCAGCTCTAAGGTGTAGTGGGAGAACATTATTGTGTAGCAAGCAGATCGTAATTCTACTTGTACTCCATTGTGTTTTTATATAGTAGGTCATCGGTCACTTGGACATCGCCGAGTTGGCAACCGCCCAGTTGTCTAGTACCCAAATATACAGGAAACAGACCACTCGTCTTCCGGCTCTTTCTATTCCAGTTCACAAAATGGACAGATGTGCTGCCCACTTCTCGACTGGACAAAAATTGCTAGTCTTTAAAAGGCAGTTTATTCGTGTAATAAAAAAGCTTTCTTTTCGTTCTTTGTCCAAACAGGGAATAGCTCCGAAAAGGGTATGCTAGATTAGGATTATCGTGCTAATCCCGTAGCATGGCTGTCCAGAAAAATCTCACATAAGCCAACTCTGCTATTCCTTTGACAGTTGATAAGAGCAGACGTTGCCTGCCTTAAGATGCCCTGGGCAAGTATGATGCTTGTTTACACAAGAGAACGGCTGGTCCAGATGTTTGTCAAAAATCGTATGCTACAGGCTTCTGACAAGGTAAAGTTGTATTCAACATGTTAGTTACACGGCAGTCAAAGTTGACCTCCAATAGTCGACATTTGCATCATTTTATGGAGTCTCTTTAAAAAAAAAAAAACCCCAAGGTGGGAAAATTGGAGAATGTAGACTAAAACCAATAACAAACTAGAGCAATATTAAAATGTGTGGACATAGAAACAAGACATAATATTAACGGCTATTTAAAAAAATACTCATGAACTTTTGTCAAAAATAACACACACACAGCAGCCGAGTTGGCCACGCCATTATGCAAAGCCTTGATTAGGTATCAAATTCCAGATAGTCGCCAATATTTTTACCTTCAGTATCAGAAAGGACGAGGAGAAATCTAAATGGAATATCGATCTGATTGGTCTTGGTCGGGGGGTAGGCATGCGATGCATAAAAATGGTAACATTACGATGGGACGGCTTTGTTTATTCGAATAAAAATGGCGTCACAAAGTGGGACACTGAGGTCAACAATCCTGAGAGTAGAAAGTTTGTGAGACCAGCTAATGTTGAGAGTAACGATGTACTTCTCAAGTGGAGTAGATAGGGGGTAAAGGTGTGCCTATAATGGGTGAAAAGAACTGTATTCAACACTAATTTCCTAACGATCAGTCATTTGTAGAAAGTGAGATCTGCTGATGTTAAGTTCCATGTCGTACCTGACAGTCGTTGGGGCAAGTGAAGTAAAGACAACTGTTACTGTGAAGTCTGCGTATAAAGGGCTAGAGTGGTTAACATTAATCCCACCCGACTTTACTTTCCATAACGTGTCAGGTACTCATCAGAGCTAGATGGGCTCGGGGAGGTCAACGGACCCGAACCCAGATTCGAACTCGAGACTTTCGGATTAGGAGTCGTATGATCTACCATTCGACCACACCATCCCATACCTGCTACTGTAGAAAGTAGCAATGACGTCAATATGCTGTAGGAAGTAAAGGTGTGTTCCCTTCTAGTGAAAACAGGCCGTAATGCTAGATGTAAGATGTTACATACCTGACTGTGAGAATTTAAGATGTCGTGGTGGTACTGCGATGATTCAGCTGATCTTCTGCTGCGGTGTGGTATTTCAAACAAATAATGATCTGTAAGGCTACCGATCTGGTGAGAAAAAAATCGTTTAAATAGCTCATTAGCTTAAAACACAGTAAACATACGCTTAAATAGGGATATATTATTTGTTGTGTAGGAAACACAGAAGAAAAAATAAATTGTGTAGAACAAGGGATAATCTGTATTATAGGGCAAAGAAAAAAAAACGACATCTTAAATATAATACGCTTGACATCTTTCAGAGCCTCAAACAATAAATAAACATGGTAAGTAATACTTATTTGAATTTCACTAAAATGTCTTTTTTACAAAGACAAAACTTTGTAAGAAGAATGTTTTCTTGGTTGTTTTTTTTTTTTTTTTTTGGTAAGAAGAAGGTACATTTTTAGAAGTTGATATACTTGTTAGTATAGTTAGTATGTAACCACCCACCTACCTCACCTATCATTCCCCCCCCCCCCCCAACACAATGACATCTGACACAAAAACTGCTCCGCCAGCAAGATGCAGGAGCCGCACTGTTTCATTCATGAGCAGTTCACATCAAAATCTACCACTCCAGCCCCTCCACTTGAGGTCTGGGTCACCGAGCACGAGTTGAGCAGAGTGCCAATCACCGGAACATCAACGAGACGGCAGGTAGATGAGACGTGAAACACGCAGCTTCTAATCTACCATTAGGTCAAAAAGCATCAGCCTCTTCCACGCCATAGAACAGCTGCTCCGCCTCTATCAGAACTTCTACCTAATTGTAATTAGCAAACTATATCGGTTGTTTTTTTTTTTTTATATTTAGAACAGGGATTCAACAACTATGTCGTTACAGTGTCAAAAGATGGCAAAGGTTTTATTTTCAAAAAACAAATGAAATAGTGAAGAAATGTTGTAATAGCTTTCTCAAGACGCCCACATTTAAGTACCACTAGAAGGGATAGTCAAAAGTTTGATGTGTGAAATTTAAACACAAAAAAAAAGATAAGTTCTAACGTGAACTCTTTCAACCACTGAAAGTACTGTATTCTTAATGGTGTATGTCTTCGGTCTAAGCGCTCCCATTAATATCTATTCGTCGTAATACATCAAACGGCAAGAATAAACAGCTGGTTTTTACAGTTCAATCCCATCAACCAGATGTACACACCACTGGGAAGATGGACGCTTCATGTTACACGGCGTATAGAAGGGTTGCATATTGCAATCTGGTGTAAATCACACGGGGTGTTTTATTATATGATACACTCAATATTTTCTCTATCATTAGAATTGCATATATAAAAGATGAAACCCTACATTATTCCAATAATTGTTATCCCCGTTGTGTAATTAATACGGTATTAATGTACAACACACAAATATAAACTATGCAGTTTTTAATCATATAGCTAATGACTATCCTAACATCGTGAAAGCCAGAAATCTGAATGAGAACATAATGATTCGTAGCCAAGCTTTAATTTGCCTTTAACGTTTGAATTGTTTAAGACTCGTATTATGTGTCCTGGACGGAATAACTACATTGTATAACCTAACGCAAATAATCACACAGTTGCCCTAGCCTATAGAACCACACTGCTATCTGCCCTAGCCTATAGAACCACACTATATCTGCCCTAGCCTATAGAACCACAGTATATCTGCCCTAGCCTATAGAACCACTATATCTGCCCTAGCCTATAGAACCACAGTATATCTGCCCTAGCCTATAGAACCACACTGCTATCTTCCCTAGCCTATAGAACCACACTGCTATCTGCCCTAGCCTATAGAACCACACTACTATCTGCCCTAGCCTATAGAACCACATTATCTGCCCTATGCTATAGAACCACACTGCTATCTTCCCTAGCCTATAGAACCACAGTATATCTGCCCTAGCCTATAGAACCACACTACTATCTGCCCTAGCCTATAGAACCACATTATATCTGCCCTAGCCTATAGAATCACATCGCTATCTGCCCTAGCCTATAGAACCACACTATATCTGCCCTAGCCTATAGAATCACATCGCTATCTGCCCTAGCCTATAGAACCACATTATATCTACCCTAGCCTATAGAACCACATTATATCTGCCCTGGGCTATAGAACAACATATCTGCCCTAGCCTATAGAACCACATTATATCTGCCCTGGCCTATAGAGCCACATTATATTTGCCCTGGGCTATAGAACAACATATCTGCCCTAGCCTATAGAACCACATTATATCTGCCCTAGACTATAGAACCACATGCTATCTGCCCTAGCCTATAGAACCACATGCTATCTGCCCTAGCCTATAGAACCACATTAAATCTGCCCTAGCCTATAGAACCACATGCTATCTGCCCTAGCCTATAGAACCACATGCTATCTGCCCTAGCCTATAAAACCACATGCTATCTGCCCTAGCCTATATAACCACACTATCTGCCCTAGCCTATAGAACCACATTAAATCTGCCCTGGCCTATAGAACCACATTATATCTGCCCTAGCCTATAGAACCACATTATATCTGCCCTAGTCTATAGAACCACATTATATCTGCCCTGGCCTATAGAACCACACTGCTATCTGCCCTAGTCTATAGAACCACACTGCTATCTGCCCTAGTCTATAGAACCACATTCTATCTTCCCTAACCTATAGAACCACATTATATCTGCCCTGGCCTATAGAACCACACTATATCTGCCCTAGCCTATAGAATCACATTGCTATCTTCCCTAGCCTATAGAACCACACTGCTATCTGCCCTAGTCTATAAAACCACACTGCTATCTGTCCTAGCCTATAAAACCACACTTCCATCTGCCCTAGTCTATAGAACCACATTATATCTGCCCTAGCCTATAGAACCACATTATGTCTGCCCTGGCCTATAGAACCACATGCTTTCTGCCCTAGCCTATAGAACCACATGCTTTCTGCCCTAGTCTATAGAACCACACTGCTATCTGCCCTAGCCTATAGAACATTATATCTGCCCTAGCCTATAGAACCACATGCTATCTGCCCTAGCCGTAGATCTTCTTGACGTGCCTACGTCCGCTAAAATCTCCAGGGATACATGTGTTTTTTTTTAATCTGACATAATAGAAAGGCTTGACATAGAAGGATGACGTTCTGCCATAATCTACGGTTTTAAAAGCAATCATTTCCTCTGTGCTGCAGGAATTAACAGACCCCGGCGATTTTAATTAAAAGCTTACCGAAATCTCTCATTTAATAACATACTACCTAGGAGTGTAACGTTGCAGTAACGTCACGTGTAATATGTTAAGATTTGAGCCCGCTAATTTTTGGATCTAATGTTTAATTCTTGTTTGTACCGGGCTTCTAACAATACGTGTATGATAAGCAGCGAAGTTTTACTATAACATGAAGAAATCGCCTTTTCAAAAATTGATTTTTAAACAAAGGATTCTAGAGAAAAGTTTAGAACTTGGGATGGTTGTGATTTAAAAAGTGAAATTTTTTCATGAATTTTGTTCAACAAAAGCGCGATATTAAGTTAAAATATAGATATAAAAATTACTCAAAATTTGATAGAAGGTAGAGAATTAGATATTTTACTTACATGTGAAATTTCATTTATTTATCTGAAATAGTACTCAAGTTATAGGCTTTTGAAAAATTCAAAGTAGAAAAAGTACCACTTCCGGCTACCGGAAATCGCTCAAAAGTTGATCAGGATCTACGATTTTGATAAAATACTTAGTTATGAAATTTCATCAGCCTAGCTGTAAGGGAACTCAAGTTATCGTGTTTACACACAGACAGACAGACACACAGACAGACAGACACACAGACATACGGACAAGATTGCAAAATTATGTTTTACCGTATCAGTGAGGTGTAAAACGTCGAGATTTATAAAAATCTCGATTTTTTTTTTTGCACGATTACACTTCGTATATACGAGAAAGTAAAAATACTTAACATATTTTCATGCATCATTTTGACTATCCTATTATAGAGCCGTACATATTTGTTTCCAATAACTAAATGGGGTTCAATATGAAATCAGATCTCGGGCTTTAGAATTAATTTTACTGAAACTGAAACTAGTTCTATATCGACACAGATTATATGAAAGCAAGCACGACGGTTGATGAATCAAATAACGACCAGCTATCTTCAGTAAAATATATAACCAAGGTTCATCCGTCAGACTAAATATTATGCCTAAAAGATTTAACTACAGCATTGAATATATTTGGATGAGATCCCTCCAGCAATACAGTCTATTCCCCTGTCATAGATTCCGCCTAAGATGTGCCCTTATGAAAACAACGCGTATTTACTTGAATGATCTGCATGTAAAATGAGCTATAATACGAAAATTACATAATCAAGGAAACTGGAATAATCTCATATTTGATGTTTTTTTTATTTCCTTTTTTTTTTATCAAAGCAGGTGTCACGATATATATGAGTAGAATTAATGCAATGGCTATGGAATATATTTTAACTAAATTGTATAACCCAATTTTAATCCATTTTACACAAGGCATGAACTAGGTAGAATTTTTTTTTAACATTATCAGTTTTACAAAATACAAGTAGTATATTAAACACACTAAATATAGGAGTTGAACTAGATTCCCTTCATATTAGGAGATAAATAACAGCTAAATCTAGTTATAAAACTATATTTATGTAGTCTAGCCAAAGTCTCGTCTTGATACGTGTATATTTCAAATCACTACAGGGATTCCGTTAAAAAAAAACACCCAATCGAAACCAACGACTCAACATCACGAATGGCCAATGTTAATGTTTAATGTCCCCAAACTTGACAACTCCCCCCCCCCCACATTGACGTGTGTCTCGTGTAACAAGAGCCCCCGTGTACACCATATAATTAGTGTCGTAGACAACTGTGAACCTCCCTGTCTCCCCCCACCCCCACCCCGCTACCAGCACAGACATCACGTGAGAGCATGCCATTAAAGTCGACGTATCACACAGTTAATCGGGTCGGTGCATGTTTACGTAGGAGCATCAGGAAATTACCATTTATTTGGTTTCCAGCACCAGCTCCAACTTTGTATCAAGTTG